TGATCATTTTCAGCGAACAGGTTGACCGCACTTCGAGATTTCTTTGCATTAAACATTAATTTTATAGTCGGACAGGTAAACTTTACAACACAAAATAATTTCAACAAGGTAACGATAACATCTCAATTTAATGGCAAAAACATCAACTTTAAGCACGTGACAAAAATCGCTAAGTGTGGTTAGTCATGCAAGATCATTTATTTCGTTTATATATAATGGTGGTGATTTGTTAGCGTATAATATACAAAGAAGTATGTTACAGCATGTCTTTGACAGTTATTAATGATAATGATGTCCTCTAATCGTTTTAGCAGCAATATTTATGGAATTGATTAAAGATAATGATCTTCGTAAATAACATGAAGAAACCAGAGAACTACATTTCGTGGAAACATTTTATTCTGCTGACAGTATTAAATGCCTTCATCACACTACTTTTTCTTAACGAGTTCGATCACATAGTTCCGAATAGTTGACCTAAATTTCTTTATTGGAAAGTAATAGACAAAGCGATCCTATTACAGCGAAGGTTTCTGATACAAGAGCGTATTTTCTTTTTTATCTAGGGTAGGGTGCTAACGTGGCCCAAGAAACTTCCTGCTCTATTCGGGCTTACCACGACTAACATGACCCTTGAGCTACATACATCATAATCCATCGAATATAACACCGAACAAATCAAAGATTAATATAGAGGAGTTTACTGTATATCATCAATTTAATGTTTTTATTTTAAAATGAAATAAAAAAATAAAAAAAGCGTATCTAGAACACATTATGCGGCACGCAGAATACTAACAGATGTTACTTATACTTAACACGGAAAGTGCCATGGGGGACAAACGTTGCCCCATGCATGTGGCCGTGGGGGACACATGCTGTCTGATATAGGTCAGTTCACACTTCTAGCCGCGTCTCACTGCGTTTTTTAGACAGATCCGTTTAAGATATATGTAAGCGGTGAGAGCTCATTCAATATAGACCATTAATTGGTTTGGGTGTCAGAGAATTTTACGATAGGTTTGACGAAGGGTTTTCTACAAGACGCAGCTTGTCTAGGAGACCGGTGGGAGTCAATGACGTTCAATTCTAAAGCAAATGGGAAGCTTTCGAGTTTCTCCGACTCTGTACCATCTTTTGATAGGTACATTTATGAACTGTGTATCATTACAGTGTTGATGTTCAAAATGAAAACCGGTGCAAAGGACCATGTGCGTCTAGAGAAGTAATAGAATTTTGTGACTTGTAAGTAATTGTTTTATAATGACACTTTTTTTTAAGATATAATTGATTCAAAAAAGAGCAAAAAAGATTGTTAGCACTTTTTGAAGAATTTTCGACAGGTGATGAGTATGATGATAAAGAGGAATCAGGAGAAGAACATCATGTAGAAGAAAACTCGGAGGAAAGCGAGGAATTAGATGTGGAGACAGATTTTGCTATTGGTCCATATTTTTTGGGCAAATATAATAAAACAAAATAGGCTCAGCTATTGCCTCTAAGAACGTCAGAACTCGAAGTAAAAATATAGTTCTGCAGCTTCCGGGTTCAAAACAATATGTCATACAAAAAACCGATATTTTAAATATCTGGAACAATATATTTGATACTGAGATGTTGCAAATAATAATTGTTGGAACCAATACAAAACTAGAAGCACAAAAAAGAGAAGTTCAGTCGCGATCATGATATATACCCAACAAACAATGGAGAAATGCGTGGCCTTTTAGGTCTCTTATATCTTGCAGGTATAAGAAAGACAAGTCACCTTAATACAACAGACTTGTGGAAAACGGACGGCACTGGTATAAAGATTTTCCGACTGACAATGAACATCATGAGATTCAGATAAGGTACATGCAAACTGAAGATATCAATACAAGGCATAGAGTTCATTTAAATAAATTAGCGCCCATAAGAGATATTATTACCAAGTGGAACGAAAATCAGAAATAATTTTTCTCTCATTCGCAATACGTAACCGTGGACGAAAAGTTGGAAACTTTTAGAGGACGGTGCTCGTTCCGCCAGTACATACCAAGCAAACCAAATAGATACGGTATAAAAATATTTGCACTGTCTGATGCGAAGTTATGTTATACCAGGAACATGGAAGTATACGTTGGCAAAAACCAAGTGGGCAGTGGCGGAACGGGCCAGGTCAACATCTCTACGAATCTAAGAGAAATGTTACCACCGAGAATTGATACATGAACGTTGATCTTGGTATAAGCTTGAAGAAAAATGGTTTAAATCTCTTGAGAACAATAAAAGCAAATAGAAGAGACATTCCTGCATATTTCTATAATAATAAGGACGACCTATTGGCTCTAGTACATTTGGGTTTGGTTAAAGAGGAACACTAGTGTCATATAAAAAAAAAACAAAAACTTTCTGTTATGTTCCACTATGCATTAGCATTAGCATATAACGGTGTTGATACCGTAGATAAATTATGCGCACAAACTGATGTGGCACGTTGTAGTAGAAGATGGTCTATGGTTGTTTTGTACAGGGTTTCTCATTATATTTTGACCCCCCACTTATTTTCCTTAATTTCGGGAATACAAAAAAAAAGTTTCAAATGAAAGTTGTATTATTTTATCTGTACCGATCAACACTGCAGCAACAGACTAAATTTTTTATACAAGGAGTGCCCAATAAAATGCATGTTCAATATTTCAAATGGGACACTCTATTTGGGTAATTTTTATAGTTTTGAGTAGCCCTGTATTTTCTGATTACAAATATAGAACATAGTGTAGTATTAGTTTTGTTCTATAATGACGTATGGTACTACTATACTATACTTAGATAAGAAAAAAATATATTTAGAAAGTCAACAAAATTAATAACTTACAATACTACATTTAAGAAGCACTACTACATTTAAGATATAACACTACATTTAAGATTACAATACATGCTCAAAGTTTCCTCCAAGAACTTTTGCCGTGATAGTGTTAATAGTTGTATTTGAATCAAAATACACTTTTTCTGTTAAAAACCCTCAAAAAAAATTATCACATGGCATTAAGTCTCGACTATTTGGTGGCCATGTAAAGGTACCCTTATTGCCGATCCACACATTAAATTGATTATTTAAATGTTCTTGAATGGCTACGACATTATGTGGCGGTGCCCCATCTTGTTGCCATTTCATACTATTTAATTGATTTTGTGTATAATTTTGATTTAATAACTCATCCACTTATGTAAGACTGTGTTCAAATATGATTCCCCAGTTAATTTATAATCATAAAACAATGGTCCAACTATTTTGTTTTGAAATATTCCGCACCTCTCATTTATTGATTTTCTTCCTGACTTTTTTATTTGCTTAATTTCTTTTTTTTATTATTTTTCTGTTCCTATTAATACGTATTTCTTCTATTAAAAATGCCTGAAGTTGAAAAATTTGATTCATCTGTCCATAAAATGTTATAAAAATAATTAGGATCATTGTTCAAATTTGTAAGCATGTCTTGACAGAACTGTAAACGCTTTCTCTTATGAACATCGGTAAGTTCTTGTACCGGTAATATTTTGTACGGCTTATAGTTGTGCTTTTTTAAAACTCTATATTCTCTTCTTGCAGCTTGCTTGTTTTTATTATTTTTTACATAAATTGAGAATATATTTACTTTTTCATTAGCAGTATAACCCATTTCAATATGAGGACTGACAGTTTATAATAAATTAATAATTGTTTAATTTTGAAATGTCACTTGCATAGCCACCTATGGTTACCCTTTTATAGTACTATACGCCATTATAGAACAAAACTAATGCTGCACTATTTTATATATTTGTAATCAGGAACTGCTGGGCTACTCAAAACTATAAAAAAATACAGGGTGTACCATTTGAAATATTGAAGATGCATTTTATTGGGCACTCCCTAGTATACAAAATTTGGTCTGTTGCTACATTTTTGGTCGGTACAGATAAAATAGTACAACTTTTATTTGAAACTTTTTTTGTATTCCCGAAATTAAGCAAAATAAGTGGGGGTCAAAATATAATGAGAAACCCGGTAGAGCCTTTTAAATGTTAGAGCAATAAATTCCTTTGTTATTTACAACTGTAACATTCCAAATCCCATAAAAATCAGACCAGAAGTTTTGACAAATTTAGCATTTAGCCTTATGTATATCCACCAGAAGAATCGAAGCCAAAATGTCTATATACAAAAGACAATAAGGGTTTGACTAAAGGAGATCTGTAATTTGGATGAATATGTCGTGCCAGTTCAAAGAACTCCGGGAGCAATTGGGACGTGTGGTGACTGTGGTTGGAAAAAGAATCGAAAAACGAAATAGTTTTGTTCGATTTGTAAAAAGCATGTTTGTTTGGAACATGTAAATTCAATTTGGAATGACTATAACAATATTCCGGCTTATATGTTTTTTGCCATCTCTTATATTTTCTTATTAGTATTAGTGAAATCATGTTTTATTTTTGTTTAACATATCTCTTGAAGACTGATTTGATATGTTCTAATTTTAAATTAATTGTAATTTGTATAGTAACAAAGGGAATAAATCAAACTATTACAAAAATTGTTGAATATATTTTGTGTTAGGTAAATAAACCTTTTAAATAAACAAAATATGTCAACAATAATAAATAATGGTAAAAAAACTACAAACAATAGATTATTTTATTAAATTTTAAACAAAATGCATCCAAAGGGCTATTTTTATGACCGGTGTAGTATAATTGCAAGATGGTCAAAGTTACTTTATACTTAATAATACAATTATTAGAAAAAGTATTAATATTACAGATAAATGTTCGTAAAACTTTATTTCTACACCACTGAGATTCAAATCGCGCCCATCTTCAATATTTCAAACTATAAGACTTATAGATATCTACACTCCGGAATAAAATGGCGATAAACAAAAAGTTGTTATTTATAGATAAATAATCTTCGTGCTTAACACAATCATAAAACAGTTTATCCATAAAGTTTGTTAAACTAAAAACTAGTGACAATGATTCCTAAGGAATTTTGTAAAAAGAATCGAACTAATGAAATTGCTCAGCTGTACTTTATTCGAGATTATGGTTTACACCTTTTTATTAAACTTGTAAGTGTGGTTTTATATTACTGTAATTATTCTTCAATTTCACAGTTTACCTCAGACCTTCGTTTCTTTAAATCTCATTATTATTATTCTATATTGATTGGACACCATCATAGCTATTGCTTTTTTGTTAGCTGCATTTCTGACAACTCCACTCCTCAACTTTTTTGTAATACAATATTGGATTCAAAACGGAACGTCAATAGAATGAAATACCTATTGTACATCTTTTTTATTTCACACTTTTTTAAATGCGATATTAAATTTTTATAATTCAGTTTATTATTAACGTTTAATTAGAAATGGATAATATATTCATTTAATATAAAAAAAGTGTTCAAAATGACCTCCGCCTTCATGTGTACAGGCTCTACATCGTTTCAAAAATGAATGCCGGATATTTTGAAAAATCAAATATCTCTAAATGCATTACCAGCTTCTAAAATTCTAAAATTTTAATTTTAATTCTTATTCTGCCATTTCCGACGAACTGTAATTGATTATTTTCAATTTAATGAATTTAAACAAAACTTTAGTTTACAATAACTTTCAAATCACTAGCAACATAGAAAACAGAGCAACAATTTGTCTATTCGAATAATTAACTGGATATGTGTCTTCTTCTTGTAAATGCCAGCTGTCCCTTTGATTTTCCGGTGTATGTTAAAACTGTCATGTTTATCTAACCTTTCTATTTCTTCACACTTTTCTGATAGCCACAGTTCCTTAGCTTCTTTGATTTTCTTTTTGATTATTTTATTAATTTTTTTGTACTATTGTTCGTGTTTATTCTTGTGTGCTCTTCTTTCCGTCATCAGTTCTTTTATCTCTTGTGTGATCCATTGTTTATTTTTAAATGATTTGTCTTCTTGAAGTTTTTGTTTTGTGATATTTCTCAAGATCTCCTCTACTGTCGTCCATTTATCTGTTGCTGTTAATTGCTTTTGCCTTTCTACTTCCTAAACTTCTTTGTGCACTTGTTCTTTGATTTGTTGGTATATATCAGTTTTTTTTTAGTTTTCTCAGATTGATTTTCGGTGTTTTGGCAGTTGTTTTTAACTGTTTTAACTTCAGTTTTATGTTTGTTAGAACTAGATTGTGGTCACTTGTTATATCTGCTGCTGGGTACGCTTTAACCGATATTATGGTATTTCGGAATCTTTGATTTATTATTATGTAATCTATTTGGTTTTTTATTATAATTTCACCATCATCTCTAGGTGCTTTCCATGTATTTATTCTTCGATTTGGAATGTTTTTGATAATAAGTTCGTTATTTTTGCAAAACTGAACTAGTCTTCCTTTCCCTTCCTTCGAGTTGAAGTCACCTAAAATGAAATTTACTTCTTCTTTTTTAGTTTCATTGAATGTTTTTTTAAGTCATTGTAGAAGCTGTTTACTCCTTTCTCTATGCTATCAGATGTTGGTGCATACACTACAATGATGTTTATGTTGCATGTTTATATCTTATATGTTTATGTGTTGCATGTTTTATCTATGTGTTGCTTTTAATTTTAATAGTGCCATTCTATCCGTAATTGGCATAAATCCTTTGACTGATCTTTCGATTTCTTTGCTGATAATTATTGCTACTCCATTGCGGTTTTGTGTGTTGTTATTTCCGGAACAGTAAAATACGTAGTTGTCTATGATACTTCTGCCGCTGTTAGCCCATCGGACTTCACTACATCCAAGAATATCTATCTTTAAGCATCTCATTTCTTTTGTTAGATTATGGGCTTTTCCTTGTTGCTATTTAGTTGGATGGCTGGTCTTGTAGATGTTCTTCTCAATACATCACTGGGATTTCGCTTGTTGACGACCTGAGAGGCCCTGTGATTTTTCATGTTTGTTCCTCTCCTGTCGGATCTCGGCTTCCGATTTCCGTGATCAGTAATGTCTACTGGTTTTGTTACCATTGCGATCATTGCCATGATGATTGTTCTATTGATACCCTTAAGTATCTTTAATGTGGTAGTTATCCTGTGGCTTTCCACATTCTTATGCCGCTGGTTACTCATTTGTAACTCCTCCGCCTTAGGGTCAACTTCTTAACCACAGGACAAGAAAGTGCCCTGCCGCTTACTTACTCATCCGCTCGAAGCCGTTGGTCAATAAGTGGATGATTGCTTATGCCGGCAATCGTTCGGTGGAATTTTCGCCCTGTCTTGCTGTAGACCAATGCAGTTGCCGGGGTGTGGCACGTAGAGCTATAAGTGAGAGTTAGTTGTCGTATGAGGGCCAGTTATCAACAACCATCTCCCGTCTATGACGCTCGATGTGATCGTTCCGATAAAAGGTGCCACCTCTATAACACAGCTCTACACCATATCAAAAACTTTCCATGCTGTTATAAAATATGTAGAAGTTGCCAATTTTAACGTGAGAACTTTAGTACAGAAGATAGTGAATATCAAGAATGAAACAAGTAATTAACTAAGTAACTAAATAAGATTCGATTATGTTGTCAATTATCGTTTAATTTCCATGTTGCCTTATGGATATTGTTGCTAGCAAACTAGGTACTTTTGATAACCAAATTGGAATGAAACAGTAGAAAGTTCATAATACAAACTGTAATTAGTCTCCTCAATTATACCATAATTCTTTTAAAAATCATTTTAACACAAAAGCTCTTGTAAATAAAAATTATAGCATTTGTTTATTTTAATTCCAGATGCTCCGTTCCACCTCCTACAATGGCTTCGGAGAAGCGCTTACCAGTCAACCGAGGCCTTCTCGTGGAGGAAATGCCAACCCCTCCAACACAATGGACCTGAGTTATGTCACCGAGAGAATTATTTCTATGTGGTTTCCATCCTCTGCAACACCACATTCTTATAGGCAAGGACAACAGCAAGCGTCTCATATGCTTAGAAATAAACATGGTGATAATTATATGGTAAATTTATATTTTATACTAAAAAACGTAATAGCTCTTTGCTCTATACACCTCACACGCATATTGAGGTCGAGTTTCATCATGTTGCAGCCAAATACTGTTATCTAAAAGTTTCTGATAGTGAAATTTCTAAATTATAAAGCCAATGGAAAATACTAGGATTTGAAAATAACTGAACCAACTCATGTATAACATTGTTTTCCAATAAATTTAAATACGCTAACCCATTATTGAATAGCCTATACGAGGATTGTTACGTGTCAGTAGCTACAATTACCCTGATTTGCCTTTCCATTAATCACAAAAGTGGCACCATTGCAAAACATAGCATTATTATGTTATATTAATAGTGAGCTAACTCATATGAATTATAAAAGTTGTCCAAGTAGACACTAAGTCCAGAATATAGTCCTCCAATAGATACTGAACCAGTTTACTTTCATTTCCCTCCCATATTGTCGGCTGCTCTAGTATCCACCAAAGCTTTTAAAATTAAACTGTTTGGTTAAGTTAACATGTATAACTTTATTCCATATTTATAGCGTTTGTTTTTGATGTACTGGCGAAAAATCAGACGCCCACGCCATAGTATCATTGACATAGTATATATATATATATATATATATATATATATATATATATTCCTCTTTTTTGAGGGTTGCCACCATCATCGTTTTTTTAGGCAATCTTTCGTCCCCCATTCGGCTCACATGCCCATACCATATGAGCTGTTTTCTCTCAATATCCTCAACTATAGTACCCTCTATACTCTATACCCATTTGTTGTTTTATTATTTCATTCCGTATTCTGTCGGCTCTTGATATTCTCATCGATCTTCTGATGGCATCCATTTCCGTGGCTTCGACCTTTTTCTTATATTTCTCGGTTATTCTCCATGTCTCAGCTCCATAAAGTAGGCTAGTTTTAACCATTGTCTCATAGATGTTCCATTCTTTTCTTTGATATTTCTTTACTCCATAGAACTCCGTTCAAACATGCTATAGCTCTTCGTGCTTGTACAATTCGATGTTCTATTTCTCGTTCGTCTTTTCCATTACGGTCGAAGATGACGCCCAGGTATTTATATTCGTCACATGGATTTATTTTTTGATTGTCATCGATATCTAGTTGTTCTACTTCAGCTCCAATTGAGAGGTATTTTGTCTTCTCTAAATTGATATTTAATCCCCATTTCTGGTATTCTTCACTTAGTTTTCTAAGCATGTATTCCCTGTCGTCTTTGTCATTTGAGATCACCACCTGATCATCTGCAAACTGTAAAGTATATATGTAATCCTGATCGTTCAATTGTATACCCATTCCTTTGACTTTCCTTTTCCATTGTTTCAGAGCTGCAGAGATATAAATCTTAAATAGAGTCGGAGAGATACAACATCCTTGTCTGATACCCTTAGCAACTGCAAATTTTTCAGCTAAGAGGTTTCCGAATTTCATTTAGGAGTTTGAACCATAATATAGATCTTTGAGAGCACTAACCAATGTTTGATGTATGTTTGATGTGTCCAGGACTTCCCATAGTTTATTTAGCGGAACTGTATCATATGCCTTCTCAAGATCTACAAAAGTCATATGTAACTCTCTATTTGTAACAATTTTCTTTTCTATAATTTGTTTAAGACAAAAGATGTTATCTGTACATGAACGAACTGCTCTAAATCCTCCTTGTTCTTCGTCTTCAGACGATTGATAATCTTTCTCTATCAGGTCCTGTAGTATTCGACTGTTTTACAATTTCTCCTGTCACCTTTTTTATTATTCGGGTCATATATGCTGTTTTCCATTCATCTGGTATTGGATGTCCATTAATATATTTGTTAAATATCACCGTGATCATTCTGTGTAATTTCTCTGAGCCATCCTTTATTAATTCTGTAGTTACTCCCTCTGCTCCATTTGCTTTCCCATTCTTCATCCCTGCTATAGCTTTTTGAACTATGTTGATATCTATGGTAATATGCTCTCCCAGAATTTCGATTCTTGATGAATTCATATCTTCTTTAAATTCGTCTCTGTTCTTATTTAATAGATGTTTGTAATAATGTGTCCAATCCTCGGGATTTATGGGATTTAGAATCACCTTCTCGTTAGTCGGCTTCTTAACAGAGTTTATAAATTTCCACGAATCAGTGCATTGTCGTCCTCCAATAGAAGATTCTATCTCTCTGCACCTTCTGTCCCATGTCTCATTTTTGGAGGTCATAATTATCTTTCTAGTTTTTTTCTTCTATTCATTGTATCGGTCTTTGTCTGCGTCATCTTTTGTATTTACCAACTTATGGTATAATCTTTTCTTTTCTGTTACTCATTGACTCATCCAGAGACAAAAATTTTTTCCGGGATAATAAATGGCTCCTATCTTTCTGTTGAAAAAATTAATATTTTTAAGTAAGGATTTCGCTTTCTCGTAAACTTGTTTTGAGAGGAGGTTATATAAACTCTTTATTAAAATAATCATTTATAAAGTGGAGTATAGATTAAATATCCCCAACCAATAAATTAAACGGGTTTTGGCATAGGTTTCGGTTCCAAACTTCCTCGGTTTTTATAACCGTTTTATAACCTGAAAACCTTTTACTTTACTTGAAAAAACTGTATTTCTTATTTGTATATACCTATCTAATAAATAATCTAAGAAAATTAATATATTGTCTTTTGTTTAGGTGTTTAATCTCTCACAACCCAAACGTGCTCTTAGAAACGAACATAAGCACGTCAAAGAAGTAGGATGGATGCCTAATTTAGCGCCACCTCTGGAGAGGTTATGTAGCATTTGTAAAGAAATTGAGTCATGGTTGTCAGGTGACCAACATCGAATAGCAGTCTTGCATGCCAGGTAAAATAAAATACTTATTAACACAAATTAAAAATATATTTTTATATGTTCGTACGGAACAATATACATATTGATCTACAGAGTAGTCGGGAACAATCGTAATTAGCACGTTAAGCCTCTAACCTTAAAATTATGACGTAGATTATGATGTAGATGCTTTTTTTACCTGTGAGTCCTCTTATTGCTGCTCTGGGTGTTGCTGTTTTTTGGATAGTTGTGTCCACGTGTTGCGTGAAGGTTAAGCCTTGGTCCATAGTGACTTATAGGTATTTCACTTCTCTTTTCTATTCGATGAGACTATCTTGCACTAACAGCTGTTCCTCTGGGGTTTCTCTTTTCTTTTTGAATATGATTCCTTGTGTCTTCTTTGAATTGATTGCTATTCTCCATTGGATTCACACCATTCTTCAACGTTATCCAATGCTGTCTGTAGATTGTTGACCGCTACTTATAACTTTCTGTTTTTGGTCACAATCGTTGTTTCGTCCGCATAACGGCTGAATAGTGTTCCTGGTGTTCTTGAAACATCTGCGCTGTATATTGTGTACAGTAGGGGTGACAGGACTGCTACCTGTGAGACTCCAGCTTCCGGAGCTCCGTGCTCGGATGGCACTTGTAATACTTGCACCCTGAAGCTTCGGTTGCTCAAGTAAGAAGAGATCAGTCTCATCATGGCCTCACTGTATCCTCAGCCTCTCATTTTGTATATTAGGCCTTTATGCCAGACTCTGTCGAAGGATTTGCTTACATCCAGGAACGCTGCTTCTGCGTATTGTTTTTCGTTAAATAAAGCTGTTATGTAGTCTATCAGTCTTCTTCTTCTTGTAGTTCCTTCTCCTATCGGAGGTTGGCTGTCATCACAGCTGTCCGTACCTTATTGGCGGCTGCTCTAAAAAGATCTACTGAGCTGCAACCATACCACTCTCTTTGGTTTCTCAGCCAGGAAATTCTTCGTCTTCCTATGGATCTTTTACCCTTGATTTTACGGTGAGCTTTATATGAGTATACATCTATATGAGCCTTAATATCACAATCTAAGTCTAAGTACTTGTAATTCGCTAGAGTGTTCTGCTCGAAATCCGAACTAAGCTTCTGGGATTAGTCCTATTTCGTATGTTTCAGCTTGTAGTCTGCTTAGTATTACTCTTTCTACAATCTTACTGACTGCTGGCAGTAAGCTTATCGGCCAGTAGTTTTGCGGAAACATGGTATTCTTTCCTGGCTTCGGAATAATGATAACATAGGCTTCCTTCTATCGATTTGAATGCAGTAGTAGTAGTAGTAGTAGATTTCAGTAAATACTTAAGAGCTTTATTTGAAATTGCATCTAAACCAGGTGCTGTTCTCGGTGAGCTATTTTTAATTAGTTCGTTTATTTCTTGAGCAGATGTAGGTATGATTATCGAGAAGTAAACTATGTCCCGGCTTTAAATTATCTCCCGTAACATCCCGTATTCAAACAGTTTTTATATTCGTGGAGATACGTAGACGACGTACTGGTATGTTTCACAGGAACTAACAGGCAACTCGACCAATTTTTATCGTATATTAATTCACTTCATAGTCATATTGAATTTACAATAGAAACAGAACAAAATCAATCCATAAATTTTTTAGATTTAAAAATTAGCAGACTTCAAAACAAACATGACTTCTTCATATTTCATAAACCTACCCATACTGACACGACTATACACAATTCATCATCCCATCCAACACAACATAAACTGGCAGCTTATCATAGTATGTTACATAGATTAACAGAAATTCCGATGTCAAAATACAGCTTTGAGACAGAATTAAATATAATTAAGCAAATAGCAGTAAACAACGGATACAGCGAACAAACAATTAATAAAATGTTAAATCAAAAACTACACAAGAAAGCCCTGAAATTAGTATTTCCACCACCAGAGAAAAAACCCAGTACCTTCTGCTCGATTACATATACAGGCAAAATAACAACAAAAATTGCCAAACATATAAAAAAGAAAGGAATAACTTTCCGAACAAATAACAACCTAGGCAAATATATTAAAAATAACAAGAGCCAAAATAAAAACACTTAAATAGTGGTGTGTACAAACTTCAATGTGGCGACTGCCCAAAAACTTACATCGGTCAAACTGGTAGAAACTTTGATAAACGAATAACAGAACATAAAAGGGCTTTCAAGAATAGAAAAACAGATTCGATATACGCACTTCACCTTCTAGATCATAATCATTCTTTTAATGACAAATTTAAAATTCTTCACATTCAAAATAAAGGTCTTAAGCTATCTTTGTTAGAATCTATGGAAATCAACAAATTAAAAAACACAGATATAATTCTGAATGACCAACTTGAGACAAACAGTTCTCCCCTCCTCAACCTATTTCATTAGAGACTATAAATTTGTAAACCCAAGCCAAAAATAGACCACTTGAGAAAGGCAATCAGATGAAACAGCTGTAGTGATAAGTTTTAAAACAAATTTTGTGGAAATTTGAAAACAACGTTTTCAGTGTTTTATTGTTACGAAGTTTGTTATTAAGCGTTATGCTATTTTAAATATTTCTAAATAAAATTGTAAACAAATGAGTCTTTCTATCTGTCAGTATATAAAAGAGGCTAAACTCCCAAACACGGCATTTTTATTGCACAAACTATTAAATTTTTTTTTATTGATATTAGAATATGTTATATAAAAGTAACCTTCCTGGTAAATTCTCAATGATTTTAGTAACTTGGTAATTGGTAGTCACCAGAATGTTCAAAACGTAAAGCTTCAGATTGTAAAGCTCCTAAGACTTGTAAACTGAGACTTTTTATGTATAATATAATAGTTTAAAAGTTTTATTTCCTCCCTTCTAAATCTATATTTTCCTTAATATTGTTCTAAAGCTATTTTCTTGTGGTATTTTAAATTAACTACTATTTAACTGGGAATAAGCCACAATTATAGATAAAAATACGTTTATTGACGTTTCAATTTCCTTTTCGGAAATCGTTCTCAAAATACAAACAGTAAATTAAACAAATTTTGTGTTTTGTTACATAGTGAAAAATTCTTGTAATAATTTAATATTATCTGACTCATTTATATTGACAATTCAGACATACATTATGCATTTTAAAGTAGACGACTTTAAAATGGTATTGCCAATATTGTTGAGTTGCGCTCCTGGGACGACTTTACTTATAAGATAGTTCATTCGATTACATGAAATCAACTTTAACTTGAGAATATCCGTCAGAAAAAATCATAGCATGTAATTCGTCTTTAAAAAGACAAACACATGACATGATGACAGTAAAATTCTCCTGTTAGTGATTCCAAAGTAAATTATGAGGGAAAAACCAGGAAAAAAACCTCATAATACTATCCCGACATTGTAAGTATTTGTTCGTGAATTTAGTTTACCTTCAACAAACATCAAAATTCTGATTTTATATGTTACGTTATTTAAAAAACATAAATGACGTATCCTCTATATGTTACTGACTTACTAATACTGGTATTTTCTTATTAATAACTTCCTCTTTCAATATTGGTAACCAGATCCTACTACATTCTGCCGAGGAATTTGCGACACAATTGGCCTCATTTAGCATAATTAGAGCCGCTTCTTTGATTTTTCTTTTTTTATTATCCGTTTCTTTTAGGACTACATTTGAATTATTCCATTGAACCCTATGTTCATTATCCCATGCGTGTTTACATATTTGAGATCTATCAAATTCTCTATTTTTAATATAAGATTGATGTTCACTTATTCTAACATTTAATGGCCTTGATGTTTCACCTAAATAAAACTGATCGCATTCACAAGGTATTTTATAAATGCAATTCATTGTCCTTTCTTTTTTATTGTTAGGTTTGGTTTTGGACAAAATAAATCTCAACGTGTTTGTTGTTTTGAATGTTGTTGAAATGTTGAATTTATTTCCTATCCTTTTTTCTGATAATCCTTTTATGTACGGTATTGTTATTTTCCTCATATTATTCCTTGTGTATGCTGTAGAATCTCGTTCTAAGTTGTTCTGTTCTATTCGATCGATTGTTGAAAATTATTTTGTTATGTGTTTGTCTTATGAAAGACGAATTACGTGCTATGATTTTTTTCTCACGGATATTCTCAAGTTAAAGTTGTTTTTATGTAATCGAATGAACTATCTTATAAGTAAAGTCGTCCCAGAAGCGCAACTCAACAATATTGGCAATATCATTTTTAAGTCGTCTACTTTAAAATTCATAATGTATGTCTGAATTGTCAATATAAATGAGTCAGATAAAATTAAATTATAAGAAGAATTTTTCACTATGTAACAAAAAACAAAATTTGTTTAATTTACTGTTTGAAATTGAAACGTCAATAAACGTATTTTTATCTTTAATTGTGGCTTATTCCCAGTTAAATAGTAATTAATCTATATTTTCCTTAACTAGTTTCGATGTTTTAAGACGTTTTCTCCGTTAAAAGTACCGTATGAGTATTTCTTTTATTAAACATAGCATGTTTTTGTTAACGCTAACGAGGTCAGTAAATTTTGTCTATTTTGTTAGATGATTTTTTTGTAGTTTTATCCCCAGAATTGGTAGTAGGTTCACGTATATACTATCTATGGACGAAATACAACACTAATTGATTGCTATTGGAAAGCTCTACATGGGCCGTATTGTAAGAATAACATAAATTAAATAGAGGTACGCAATCGGATATACTATTGAATCGAATCGTAAATAAAGTTGGATACGTATCTTGGAATACAAAAACAAATGTTCAAGACATTAGGAAGGAAAATTTGAGAATTGGATACGGTCGTATCATGTATTGTTATAATACAGTACAATAAGATAATTGGTTTCTAACTTTCATAATTTAAAATTTATGGGTTTTGTTATCGCTTTCTGAGTGCATGTTTGCCACCTATTCAGCACAGTTAATTGTCTCGATGTAGGCAATAATAAATATTGTATTTATATGAGATTAAAATAAAATTAATTACTATTAAAC